GGGTGAGAGGGAGAGAGGGAGAGAGGGAGAGAGGGAGGGTGGAGGGAGGGAGGGAGGAATTGGAGGACCAGAGTAAAGCAACAGGGTAGTTAGGACAGGACAAACAAGGTACCTGTAGCTAGAGACAGTGGTAACACGAGTGAAGAGGGGGTCCAACGGCTGCAAACTGCAAACTGCAAACTGCAAACTGCAAACTGGAAACTGGACCAGGACTGCTCACTGCAACTCTGCTCAGCCAACTAACAGTCGTAGGCCGGCACGAAAAGTCTCTAGGGGCAACGGACTGCTGGGGGCTGGCAGCTATTGATGACGTCCGCCGCCCACTTCTTAGCCTCAACAAGGCAAGGTACGGGTGCAATGCGATGCCTCCTCTCTACCACCTAGCGAACTGACCTACCATACCCTTACCTAGTACCTACCGCCATGTACTGTGCATGTACTGTACACATGTGCATTTCCATGTTGATACAATCCTGTGCACATGGCCCTAGGTACAATAGCCCATATTCGGATGATGACCATCGTCCAACCCTATTGCACCTCAACGGCCGGCCTCTCTTGCAGGTTTTTTTTTGCGACACAGCACGGGCATGGGCCACCCACGGCCACCCACACCACAGTCAGCCTGAGCGGGGGCAACAAGCATAGGAAAGCTTCCCACGTCTTTGATCTTACCAGCCTTGCGTCTTTGCCCCTTTATTGGGAACTGTTGCTCTCGCTCTCCTCTCTGTGATTCTGCGCGTCAGAAAGGCTGGGATGTACATGATGCGAGATGGTTGTTGTTGTTGTTGTTGTTGTGGTGGTGGTGGTGTTGGTGGTTGCTGCAACCAACCCAAAACAGTAGTAGTCAGCGTCGTAGGCCTGCCGCTGCGCCTGCCCTTGGATCGAAAACAGCAGCGACAATACAATACAATACAATACGACGCAGTTCGGCGCCTTCCTCCTTCTCTGGCAGACTGGCCCCACGGCAAAACCTGGTCTTTCCCCTCGACTGCCAAACATGCGAATGCAGCCAAGGCCTAGGATACAGTACCCGTCGACTGTAAGAGTACTATAGAGTACGGTACCTTATCCGTCCCAGCAGCCTGCCGTACCTAGTACCTAGTCGTCTAGTCTACTCTATTGCCTTTGCCCTCCCTTCCCATTCTGTGACCCTTCATCCTCCCACACGCATTCTTTTTTTCCACTCCCGTCCTCTTCCTCATACCATTCTCAAGCTCTCATGTCCAGGCCCACCCGGAAGGCTTTGTTTGACTGTCCACACTGTCCGTCTGTCAGCCTGTCGCTGTCAGTCCAACAAGTGTAGCTCGTCCCACGCTTTCCTGCTTTCCTTCGGCCCTTTTGCTGCCCGCTCGTGTTTCTATTCCTAGCCTGTCCAAGGCCTACGCAAACAGCGCCGCCCTAGTGGCTGGTCCCACTGCACGTGATCACCCACCTCGCCCCTACTTTGTTAGTACGTGCATTGTACGAGTGGCGATAAACAACACAGCCTCTGACGGTCTGACATAGGTACTGTACGTTCGGTAGCTGTTGTACGGTACATAGCAGCATACTCTGCCTTTTGCATCAGTCGGCTCCTGTGTCAATGGCATTGTCTTTCCCCCATGCCCCACATTGGCCTCGGCTCGCTCTTGCCCTTGTTTCGATCTCGCCGCAGTGGTGAAACACGACACCACCGATCTCACGGTCCAACTGCAGCCGTTGAGACACGCAGTGCCCGCGCAACACGATAGATCTGCCCTGCCTGTGTTTACACGCTTCCAATCAAGCAGGCCTAGTTTCTCATACCTTGCGATAAAGAGGAGCCCTGCCCTGTTCGTCGTACCCTCGAAACCCCACATTACTCTTTTGGTCTTCTTGTTCATCCAAAGCTTGGTGATGGGCAAGGTAGGGTGCCGGTAGGTGTGTACTTACAGTACGTACTCGACATCCCTGGCCTACCGTCTCGGCGCTTACTCAACCTACTGGGGTCAACACGATCCTCTTCATATCACCCTGACACTCTCCTTGAAACACCCTCGGCCAAAGGACTAGACGTTTGTGGTACATAGGTACACTACTTAGCCGACCGATGACAGGTTGCGATAATTACATGCCCTACATTGTGGACAAGTTTGGCTGCAGAGTCCAGACTTGGAGTCCATGTCGCAAGATGACCGACCGCACTGTTGTGAAGCACTGGCAGTCAGTCGGTCAAATGTCGTGTGGTAAGCCGTGTATATTGCAGTGCCAGTCAACGTTCATGTTACACTGTGAGCCATTGGCCTTGAATCGGTCTAATATCGTATTGTATGTGATTGTCATTACACTGCCAGCTCATGTTACCTGCATGGTCGCTTCGAGCCAGCCAAGTCGGGCAACTTTGCACGAGACATGCAACAAGACGACATGTCACATGACCATCGGCAGAGTCCAACAAGACACGCAAAAAGTATCGATAAGAAGGCATTGGTTCAACAGGGAATTTCAAATGTACCAACTCAGTCTACCACTCCAATGGCATTGTAACTAATCACCAAGAGGAGCATAGAAATGACGGCAAAATGCTTCATCTTCCGCAAGTACAATGTTGGCTAGACATGGAGACATCGTCTGGACAATATTTAGTTGCGGGTCGCTATTCATCACGGGGCCTATTCAATCTGTAGCACGCCTCGTGGCGTACCCATACAGACAGGAAGCAACGTGATCTATGCGGTGTGAGGTGTGAGGTGGAGGATGGGAAGTCTAGGCAAAAATCAAGAGAGATGCAGCGCGAAACAGCCCCGCAAAGAACCCCAAGACGCGCTTTTCAGAGCCGCGCTCCCGGTCCGTGCACACCCGACATGGCATCTACTTTTACATGCATCCTTCTCCAACACCACCTGTTGCTCAAAGATTCATATGGTAATCATAACTCCCTAGAGAATATGCCATATGTAGAAGTAACGACAAAACATCAATATGCAAAATCACCTCTACTACATTCTCTTGACCTCGTCTTGAATTGCCATTGCTAGCCTCGGCTCCGCACACACCTTGCACGTGGATTGCGGCGAAGTCCCCGGGGACCCCCTCGACCCTGCCAAGCCTCGCATCACCGGCCAATCGTCCAACACTTTCCACTTTCCACGCATCGCTGCCGACCGCCTGTAGCTCTTGAGTCCCGAGAAATCCGCGAAGAGAGAGCCCATAGAGTTCTGATACCCCTCACGATTTGACGCTCTTTCGTTCCATTGTGCTCTTGTGCTCTTGAGACTGCCATTGACGGGCTTCCTGACATACTCGAGGCTTTTTGATCGCGGGAAAGAGACGGCGGACAATATGGCTTCAGCATCGTAGGTTCACACCCTACGGTACAACAGCATGTAAGAATTCACACTAATTGGGCGCAGGGGTCTGCTGCCTCTGGCTCTTGCTATTGCGGCAATTGTGGGCGGATACATCTTCTTTGGCGGCGGCAATGGTAAGTCTTCATTGCTCTGCCCACGTGGATCTACTCCTAACATCTTAGGAACAGCAAAGTCAAAGGCCGCCGTACCACAGAAGTCTGCCTCGAAGTCGGGCGACGCTAATATCGTCCTTTCCAAGACTGAGTTCCGGGAATTCCCTCTCAAGGAGAAGATCGTCCTCACACACAACACCGCCGTGTAGGTCTTCTTCGACGCTCCTGCATGCCTTTCCACTGACATCAGCCAGCTACCGCTTCGGACTCCCCCGTCCCACCGACGTCCTCGGCCTCCCCATCGGCCAACACATTTCCCTCGAAGCCCACATCGAGGGCAACGAGAAGCCGACCGTCCGATCATACACACCCACCACCTCTGACAACGACAAGGGCCATTTCGACCTCCTCATCAAGTCCTACCCAACCGGTAACATTTCCAAGTATGTCGCGAACCTCAAGATTGGCGACAAGATGCGAGTCCGGGGACCCAAGGGCGCCATGGTCTACACCCCCAACATGGTCCGCCGCTTTGGCATGATTGCAGGCGGCACCGGCATCACCCCCATGCTCCAAGTGATCAAGGCCATTCTGCGCGGCCGCGCCTCTGGCGACCGCACAGAAGTCGACCTCCTCTTTGCCAACGTCAACGCCGAGGACATTCTGCTAAAGGACGAACTCGACGCCCTCGCCGCCCAGGACGACAAGTTTAGAGTGCACTACGTGCTCAACAACCCGCCCCCAGGTTGGACGGGCGCAACCGGCTTCGTCACCCAGGACTTGATCGAGGAGAAGCTTCCGGCCCCGGCCCCAGACGTCAAGATTCTCATCTGTGGACCTCCGCCCATGGTCAAGGCGATGAAGGGCGCTACCGAGGCTTTGGGCTTCGACAAGGCAGGCCCCGTCAGTAAACTGCAGGACCAGGTATTTTGCTTTTAGGTGGGATTTGCTGCTTGTTGGTGTGTGTGTTGGAGACTTAGACTTGGGAGGCGGTTGGAAGGCGGTTAGAAGTTCGTGGAGAGTGAAATCGGGGGGTGGAGAGGTGAATGTAACAGTCATAAAGGTAGCTATGCCCTTTGAAGAGAAATAATATGCATGCACTTACGAATTTTGGTGGGTTTTTAGTATCATTGTGCACAGAACTTCATCACATGCAAAGTACCTCACTCCCTTTCGTCGGCTATACTAAGTCCATCCACCCTCTCTTGACCTCTTCTGAATTTTCTTGCTCGAAAACACTATTCATTCCCAATGTGGGATAATTGCAGTGATGAAATATCCTGTCATGGGATGTAATGGGTTCTGCTGAGCTGAGCCGAGCTGAGCGGGACTGAGCGGGACTGAGAAAATGAATAGAGACGGCGGGGGTGTAAATCGGTGAATCATATAATATACCATCCATTAGCTACGACGAAATTCGATCAGAGTTTATGTTATCGGTACTCAACGAGCGT